TTCCCACTTGAGCACAACAGTGGGTGAGCACACACAATTCGCTCACATGCAACCCATTTCTTCATTCAATTTTCCCAACTTTCATTCATAAACTGCAGAGGTTGTGGTAAGGAGGGAGGGAGGGGGTAACCCCCACATGACTGCAGTACTTTCCAGCAGCATTGATTCCCCTCAGCCAATCAGACGGCAGGAAGACAAGAAGGAAACACAAAAAAAGCATTGGCGGGGCCAAGTATATACCGCATAACACCGCAGCCTTCCCCTCCCCCACACTTCATTCATTCGCTCGCTTTCTTTCATTCATCCCTTCACCGATTCATTCAATCATTCATAAAGTGACGTATATCTTTAACTCAACCGCAGCAGATCTAGCCTGCAGGACTTCAGGGTTCAGAACGTGTGACGTGTCTCTGGGGGTAATGAATGCCGAGAGTGAGAGAAAAGAGATGCGAGCACGTTGACTCACACTCATTCTGACCGATAGTGACTCATTTCTCTATTCAAGATGGTTCATTCAAAACTCAATTCCCTCAAACTCTTCAGGATTTCACTGAATATGAAATGTGATTGTTCTGACGCACTACAAAAGGACACTTGAAGAACGCATCTCTCCTTTGTTAGATTGTTCACTGCAGTGAAACCAATAGCAACCGAGAGAGGAGTGTGCATGGGGGGACCCTGCTGGAACGAGCTGCCATGGCACTTCAAAGACCACCCTATCGCCTCCCTCCTCTATCTTTGCTCTTTCCATTCAGTCAGCAGTGACTCTAATGAATGCGATTTTGCCCACTGACTGAGTGGAAAAAAGAAACACTTGAGAAGACGTACTAGGAATACACATGGGTAACAACATTGAAGGAATGCTCCAGGTTTAATACAAATCCATCAACAGCATACTGTCAAATACCACAGAAAATGATATCTACTCTTCCCTTGAATTTCAAAGGCCTAACTAATGGTTTTAAAAAGATAGTTCCTGCTTGACTTTCACTCTTCTACTGCAGAACACAAAATATAATATTGTGGTAACGCTTCTTTTTACAGTCTAGTTACGCATGTTAATAATATGTACTTATTTTAGTAACTACAATTACTGGGTAATAACTAAACCTACCCCTGTTCCATGTTCTTACCTTATATTAGCCAGTACTTTATAGGTAAGTACACTAAGTACACTTTAAGTACTGTACTGTAAAAGGAAGCGTTACTGATATTTTTTTAAAGAACTGTTTTCATCCAAAACAGCGATGGACCCCATTTATAAATGCAAAAAAATAAAAATCACTAAGACATTTTTCAAAAAAATGAAAATGGCAATTTGCAGAAAAAGAGATTAGAGTAAGTAAATTATGAGTTTTAATTTTGGGGTGAACTATCACTTTAAACTGTGGAATGTGCCATTTTCTGAATGTATAGGTAGAAATGAATGGGTAATTGAGGCAAACACGATTTGTCATGAAGACCGCTTCTCAAAATCCAGTTATTTCCTGATGGATGTACTCGCAAAAACACTTAGGCTAACATTCGAAATTTGAGGTCAGTAATTTTTGAAAGAAAGAAATACTTTGATTCAGCAAAGATCCATTCAATTTATCAAAAATTACACATTTATGTTACAATAAAAGTATATATTTCAAATAAATGCTGTTATTTTGAACTTCCTATTCATCAATGAATCCTGCAACAATAATTGCATGATCCTGCAACAATAATTGCAAGTTTCCAGAAAAATATGAAGCAGCACAACTGTTTTCAAGGCTGACAATAATAAGAAATGTTTCTTAAGCAGCAAATCAGCATATTAGAATGATTTCTGAAGGTTCATGTGACACTGAAGATTCGAGTAACGATGCTGAAAATTCAGCTTTGCCATCAAAGGAATAAATTACATTATAAAATATATTTTAAAAGAAAACAGTCATTTTAAATTGTAATATAATATTAAAGCCTTGGTGATGAGCATACGAGGATTTTGGATTTCTTCCAAAATACGGTACAACAAGATTTCTTGATCACTTTAACATACACAGTGCCCATTCTTGCATATACTTTTATCAGGCCAAGAATTAAGGTTTCTTGTACCAAAAAAAAAGGCATCATCATATGATCATTTCCACACCCCCACATAGAACTAAACACAGTTTTTGCTACCTTTAAAACCACTATATGTAAATGACATCCATCATGATCACATAATCTCCACATGCTAGCACAGTTTACACGTCGTTCATCAGGGTGAGACAAATTGCTGAATAGACATTGATATGCAAATGGTGATGGTTGTGTCATCATAGCCATGACCATTTACGATTCGGAGACATTTTTGTCTCTGTGGACTAGGAAGAAAGTGTATATCTATGTATCTCTTATTTTAACAGATCAAATAAGATCTCGCTTCCCATATTCTACGCTTCATGTACACTTATGAAAGGCATGCTGGGATATGAACTGCCTGCTTGTAACAGAATCAGCGAATGCTAACTGAGGGAAATCCACTTCTCCTCATGCAACAAACCATTACACAACCACAGAAACCTGAGACACATGCAGCCTGCTCAGGAATCTGCCCTGAGCTAGTGCATTCTGGGTAAGGGTGGACACAAATGTTGCAGTTCTGAAGTATCCTTGAGCATGGAACAATTAAATAAACCCTGATCCACTAGACATTTGTTATACGCGCGCACACACACACAAGACGAGAACTGAGAAAGAGATGGATGGAGAGAAAGAGAACATTACATAACCAAAGATAACACAACAACACAATCCCAAGCAATTCCGCAGCAATTTAGAGAAAGAAAAAAGAGCTGGAGGGATAACAAATATTTTATAACTATAAGATGAACAAAGAAGCGACAAAGAATGTTCTATTCAGCATCAATACGAGGTAAAGGGGTAATGCATTAGATAAATAAAAGACATTACATTAATTGTGTCAGAGGTCACAAGTGAAGCACATGAGAGAGGGTGTGTGGAAGAACTCCTCGCCCTGTTCCCCGCTTGAGAAAGGTCATGTTGTGAACTGTGGAGGGAATGCATGATGTCTGTGTGGGGATAGACAGAATGAAAAAGAGAGAAACAGAAGAGGAGATAGAAAAGAAGAAAGGCGTTTCCTCACTGATCTGATAAAATCAAATCCTATTTTTTTGTTAAACATGTATTCCTGAAGTCAGTGAGCAGATATATCTATATATTACTGAAATATACTTATTTCAGTAATATATAGATATATCTGCTCACTGACTTCAGGAATACATGTTTAACTATATATATATATATATATATATATATATATATATATATATATATATATATATTACAACATTTAAACATTACTCAAACACTTTTAAATTAATTAGCAAAATCGAACTCAGGGATTTTCAAGGGAACCAGTAAAAATGGGGGTCCGAAGAAAAGTTTAGAGAAAAACAAATCTAAATACTAAAATTAGATTAAAACTAATATAAATATTTAAGCTAAATAAATTAAACATGATTTAAATAAATGTCATTTTTTTATCACCAATAAAAAAATATTAAAATAAATACAAATGAATGTAAATAAAATAATGTAGTGATGCAACATAATAGAATGTAAAATATTTTCCAAATAATATTATACACATTTATAATACTAATTTTCACAGTATTAATTTGATCTTTATATATTATACTCCTTCGCACACAAAGAAGATCATGATCGCCAAAATCTGTGGCATCTAAAAGATTGAAAATCTCTAATCAAAGTAACCAGAATCTACCCACATCAGACTAAAAAAACAACACTACTGCCTGGTTTTACAGACTGGGTTTAGTTGAAGCCAGGATTAGGTCTTAGTTCAATTAGGACATTAAGTAGCGTTTATAAACATACCTTGGAAAAAAAAAACATTACTAGTATGCATCTTGAAACAAAACAATGGCACTGACATTATGTTGCTATCAGTTAAAATACCTCAAACATGCATTTAGTCTGAGACTAGGCTTAAGCCTTGTCGGTGAAACTGGGCATACAATTCCAATGTAAACCACTGGTCTTCAAACGTTAGGTTAGGAACACAAAATTCATTGATCCAGCTCTTTAAAGCTGCGTGAAATAAAGATCAAATTGACCCACACTAGCCCCTAAACCAATGCGCTTTTATTATGCCACTTTAAGTGTTGGTAATTGGATTGAGATATAGCTGAACCAGCCCCTGAGGGATGGGAGCGTGTGTCAGTGCATTGAAGAACAGATCTGGAGCTCAGAGAGCATGTCAGAGGTCCACACTCATTTCCAATTCAGCACCAGCTGAATATATAATCCATATTGTGAGTGAGTTGAGCAACATTGCCCCCTTCAGCTCATTGTTTGTCTGCCTGACATGATTTTTTTTAAATAACAAATCTGGGACTACAAAATGTTGAACATGTATCAAGAAACCAATGTTCCTTGTCTAGGCCAACCAGATGATAGGAGACCATTCTTGAGCTTCTCTTTGTGATACGTAGTTGTGAGTATTTGCTAGGTTGCTGGGGTTACATGCTTTTAAAAAGCTGGACGGCAAGTAAGGTCGAGGCCTCGAAGGTTCAAACCCAGTAAGGAGTTCCTGTATGTCCAACATGCCAACAAGTAACATGATCCCATTATACCCAAAGGGGGACATCCCTGAAGGAACTGTACTGTCAAGCGTCTGCAATACTAGAATAACTGATATTAGGAGAATTAGAATAGAAGAATAAAACAGAAGTTGCAATAGCTTCTGGTTTGTATTTCGCCAGCATGGAGGTAAGATCTTACGGATTTATGAATGAACAGCTCGCTTTAAAATCTTTCCAGTTAACTGACATTTCCAAAAGGTAAAATTGGCCACAAAAAAATTAGCTTGGTGCGCAAAAAAACAAAAACAAAAACAAAACAAAAAACACAAAGTGCACTAGCGCCCCCTACTGATTATATGTATTACACAATATAAAATATTACTCGTATTGAAAATGTAGTTTTTAGACTGTCTAACTTACCCAGCATCAAAATGTTTTCGTCAGATCCCACATGCTGTTTGAGCAGATGTCCAAATTTAGTGAAGTCTCCGAACCACTCGAAGCTTTCCTCCGTCCTGTACCGCTCATTCCAGTAATCCACATCTTTATATCTGGCATTAGAGTCTGGCAAATGTTCCATAGTTCTTTAAAATATAAACGAAAGTCCTACTATTATTAAACGACTGCAGGAATGTTATTAAAATAGTCGTTGCTGACTGTCATCTCAACTAGTGTGACGGTTTGTATAACGTTATCTGTTTTATCTTATCTCTGTAAATATTTTGCATAAACACTGTTGGTTTATAAACACTGATAGTTCAATGCGGTTAGAACGAGTTCAGCTGGCAAACTATAAAATAAACATCGGTATTCAGGGGCTCTTACCAGCTCAATATGTGTATAAGTTTCAATATGAATTAAAACATGTGCGTCTAAAACATGAATAAAAGAATGGGCGAAAAAAAATTGTCTGAGAAGACAACCCACGTGTGTTTCTTTTTTTCATGCACTCTAACCCCGTGACGTCACGTGTGGGAAATTAACGCAATGGTGTCAAAATAAAAGTTTAACTAAATGCAAGAGTAGGTTTTATGTATTTTATGTACACAATTTACCACTGCTTTAATGTAGCGTTTCGTTGTAGGTGCTTCCAATCACAATCAATCGACACTATCATCATTTTTCCAAACTGCCCATGAAGTCCATTATCAACCTTTCAATGATCGTCTCTATTTAGAAGGATTCATCTGCACTGTTCGCAGCTTGTCACGGTTTTATTTGCAGTCATTGTTATTCTGATGGTCATTGATGATGATGATGGTCCTGTGAAGAAAACTCATGAAAGCTAAGAGACTTGGTAAATCGTTGATATCTTGATTTAAATCGCCCCAAAAACGTTTCAAAAACTAGACAGGTGGACTAAAATAATTAAAATGTTCAAGAATAAAATAAAACAAAAACAACTAGAACAAACATGAAATAATGCTATAAACATGAACTAATCAATGCTGACAAGCACTCCAACATAAGTGAGATGATTTAGCAGAACAGATTTTTGGAAATGTATCTAGGCTACTTTTTACTTATAAAACATTCTTATTCCATAAATATATACTTCAAAAAATATATTTTTGATTTTTATATTTAATAATTATATTATATTTGATATTTATATCAAAATATTTGTTTGTTTGTTTTTGCAAAATTGTTTCTTTCTTTAATTCTTTAAAAATCGCGAAATCACTCCATTATCGCACAGTAGTGTGGCGCCCTCTACTGATGGCTTGAGCACTTATGAGTGGGCGGAGTCAGTGATGATGACGAACTTCCTTTGGCGCGCAGTGTGAAATTCAAAGCTGCAACTCAAACCGTTCTGTAATCCAGTCAACTTTCTTTCTTCGGGTTAGTTCATCTGATTAGCAGTTGGTCGGAATAAATCGGTCCTGTTGCACGGTTGGTTTTTCTGATATGTGATATTTTTTGATGTGTGATATATTTTTTTAAATTGATAAGTGTCGTTTACTAAGAAAAAAAGCGAGTTTTGTCTGTTTATTATACTGCGAGTTAGCTTAGCATGTTAGCTTAACGTTACCCTGTCAAACAAAACAGACGTTTTGCTTCAGTTTTATCAAATAAAACGCGTTAATTTCTTTTTCTTTTTTTTTGCGATTACGGTAAACAAGGTAACGTTAATAAATTAATTTAAAATGTATGACCTTTTGTAAGACGTATAACAGTTACATATGTAAACATGTCATGCAGTGACTTTGGTTCCTACAGATGAACATTGTTATATTCACTGCGTGTTGTTTAGGCGTGCAGAAAATGTCGTGGGATTTTATCGTGCCGGTTTGTTTGGATGATCTCGTGAAGTCTGGTGCTGTTAACCAGTATGTGGTCCAGGATGTGCTGTCTGTTAAACAGCTCCCCTCTCACATCAACAGTAAGTGCTGCTGGGCTCTTCTAATCTGTAGTGCTATACATTTCACTTTCTGCTCTGTAGTGGAACTGTGGAATAATTACTTTTTTCTGTTTCTCACGAAGGCTTTAAAGCAGCACTGAGAAGTCAAGGGTCCCTGTGCATCCTGGAGCATTTTGACACCGCATACAGTGTTTTGCAGTAAGTTATTTTTTAGATAAATTAGTGTAAAATTGATTAAAGTTTTGTTAATTTTTTGGCAGCAATTAAACCTGTGAACATTTTTCTTGGCCAAATTAGTATTAATTAGGGGTGTACTTATATATCATGCCACAATATATTGCATTACAAAAATGCAACAATGTGAATGGTGACAATATGTATATTCATATCCATCGGTAGCTATGCAACTACCACTTTGATGCTTCAAAAGTTCATAAAGCAGGCAGCTTTTGGTTCTTGCAAAAGCTCAAACATGTCCAATCACACACGAAATTGAACCTCATTGGTTTTTGCACATCAACCGAACATGCTTGAGCTTTTGTTTACCATAACTGATGTGTGTGTTGATTAAATCAAATGTTTGTGAATACGTTTAAATTAAATCTGTTTATCATATATTTGTAATGTGTGTCTCCAGAAATTTTGGACTAAACTCTGCAATTCTTATGGATTAGTTTTATGATCTCTTTATGAACTTTTTAAAGCGTCAAAGTTGCCCGTTGCTGTCAGTGAAGGGACAGAAAGCTCTCAGATTTCATAAATATCTTCATTTGTGTTGCAATGATTACTGAAAGTTCTACAAGTTTGGAACGAAATAAGAGTGTGTATTGATGACAATTTTCATTTTTGAGTCATCTATCGCTTTAACCTCACGATTTGGCTAAGAATAATTTCCTTATTGCATTTAGACATTGTCGCACAGTGGATGTGGCAGTGAAAGAAGACATGCTGGAGTTGCTGATACAAGGTTGGTATCTCTCATAATCAAATTAAATAATTCTAGTTACGTTCAAAGTATCAAATATACATTTCCAACATTGTATCACAATGCTGTTTTTCTCAGTGGTCAGGGGCCTGTCGGTTTCCCTGCCGACTCTCCTCCTGTCGGGCTCTCTGTCAGCTGTGGACCGCAAACAGCAACTCAACGCTGTGAAAATGAGTGTTTTTCTGCTATGCAAACTCACAGAAACACTTGAGAGTGACTCATACAGGGAGACTATCGTCACAGCGCCCAGCAAGGTACAGCTGAATGTTATTAAGTTTTTCATTAGTTTAATCTATGCCCCATGATGAGAACTAGGCAAATATGAGCTTATTGGCTGGGATCTTGTGCTCTCTTGCTATCTGATTGGTGGGTAATCTTGGCAGAGCAGTGGAGATTTGCTGCGCTGCTGTAAGGGCCCACCCATATTGATGTCAGCTGTCACTCATGATACAATTCTCCTTTAGAAATGGGCATTTGTCGCTGATTTGACAGCTTACAGTGTGTGTGTGTGTTTGAGTATGTCCCTGAGTGTGTGTAAATGTGTCAGTTAGCAGAGTCACATCTCCTAATACGACAACCAGCTGTGAATGTTTTCTTTGGTAATCTGAGGGCAACAAGTGTTGCTTCTGAGTTTGTGAATCTTATGTGTATAAAATATTAAACGTCACTGTGTTTCTTTCAGGGTCGTAAGAAGGACAAAGGTGCCGGAAAAGGTCTCCTGCAGTGGGACGGTGAGAGAGAGACAGTTCTTCAGTGTTTGACTCAACTGCTGCAGCTGGACATTCGTACTCTGTGGAGTCTGTCTCTAGTGGAGGAGGAGTTTGTCAGGTAAATGTTTTCCTCTTAAACAGTCACTCACCTTGGCTTTGTTTAATCTTTTTAAACTTTCTCTGTCTTCATTAATCTCAAATGTCGGTTTATGTAGCTGTGTGACATGCTGTTGCTATAAACTCCTGGAAAACCCCACCATAAGCCACATGAAGAGCAAGTCCACCAGAGACGCCATCATTCATGTGCTCGGAATCATGGTGAAGAAATACAACCACATGTTGGGTGGGTTTATATGCACGTCACACACCCATGAGTGGGTTTGCAATGTTGTAGATGTTGAGATGCTGAGTGTGTTGTCCTGAATATGCTCTCTCTGTCTTGTACAGGAGCATGTGTGAAGGTGATCCAGCTTCTGCAGCACTTTGAGCAGCTGGCATCTGTCTGTGCACAAGCTGTGGCCGCCTGGAGCACAGAGTATGGGGTCAAGGCCATCGTTGGAGAGGTCATGAGGTGAAATTGAAGTCTTTTTTAGTTTTCTTCTTCTGCTTGAATGGCATTCCTGGGTATATAGACTGCTTTACAGTGTGATTCGACCAGTATTTGGTTACAAATAGAAATAAGATTGATAAGTTTAGTCGATAGCAATAGTTCTCTACCTTTTTGACTCCATGACCTCAATATTGGAAAATCCTTCTATTTAACCTGATATGTGTATGTATTTCAGAGAGATCGGTCAAAAGTCGAGTGAGGAACTAGCTAGAGAAGCTTCGGGTGTGAAGGCTTTCTCCAGCTTTCTGTCTGAACTCAGTACTCTGGTACCTGAAACCATGATCCCCAACATCAGCGTTCTCCTGGCTCACCTTGAAGGAGAGGTACAGTCGGGTATTTTCTCTATTGCATCGCCTCTGTCATTGGATTTTTGCCCGGTGATGAGACCAAGGCGAATATGAGCCCACTGAGTTTGAGTCTGAGCTCTCCTGTGTTCCTATTGGCTGGTAATCTTGGCTGGGCAGTGAAGGTTTGCTGTCTTGCTGTAAGGGCCTGCCTACATTCAACAAGCCTCTTCCTCTTAAAATCCTATCCTTTGAAGATATAGGGGAGGAGAAAGAAGGGGGCTTACATTTGTTGTTTTTGTGTGCATATGAGGGTCACAGGTTGAGTCTCAGTTCTCTGGAATAATTCTGTTGGCGTTGAGCTCTCTCTTTGGTAATCTGAGGGCAACCTTTAAAGTTTTATTTATTTATTTTTTGGACCATTATTTATATTAATGCATTTAGCAGCTGCTTTTATCCAAAGCAACTTACAATTGTCGAGCATGAGCTGTTTGTCACAGAGCCAGCAATGTTTGCACAATACAATGCATCTTTTGCGTTTGTGTTTGGACAGAGTCCGAGTCTGCGAGTGGCTGTGTGTGAGGTTCTCGGGGAGGTTCTGGTCCGGGTTCTGTCTGGTGATAAGCTGGATGATTCTGCTCGTGCCAGCCGAGATCGCTTTTTGGACACACTGCAGGAGCACATCCATGATGCCCACTCGCATGTCCGAGCACGTGTGCTGCAAGTCTATGCACGAATTGTCAACAGTAAGGTGAGTGGCTTGTGGGGCTTCCCCCCCCTTCATGATAACAGAAAACAAGGTGTTTTTACTTGATATTATTCCTTTTCTTCCTCTGACAGGCCTTGCCGCTGTGCAGGTACACTGAAGTTATGGAGCTGACTGTCGGGCGTCTCGGTGACAAGTCTGTCCATGTGTGTAAGAGTGCCATCCAGCTGCTGGCTGCCTTCATTGCTCATAACCCTTACAGCTGCAAGGTATAAACATGCTCTGTTAAAACATCTGGTACTGTCAGTTCATTTAATATATATATTTTTTTGACCGGAGTAATGATGCTGAAAATTCAGCTCTGCCGTCACAGGAATTAATTTTAAAATGTATTAAAATAGAAAAGCTATTTTATTATATTTCACTACATTATTTTTTACTGTATTGATAAACAAAAAAGCTTTGAGCATGAGAGACTTCCTTAATCTTATCTCAAACTTTTGAGCACACTTAATCCAATTACAGAAATAAAAGATACCTGTGTTTGTTATTTTTGTGTTAAGTTGAGCAGTGTAGATCTAAAAAAGCCCCTGGATAAGGAGATGGCCAAATTAAAAGAGATGAGAGAGAACCAGAAAGAGCAAGTGCCTGGTATGTTGCTTTTATAATTGAATTGTTCCTTGCAGTCATTAGCTGGTCACTATTACTATCAATTTGTGTCCAGCTGTAAGATTATAGCTTTGTGTTTGTAGTTGCAGTCATCACAGCAGCTGATCTTTGGGATGCAATGAAGCCTGAGGTGGAGATGACTGTGAAAGCACAGCTTGAGCCTGGAAGTGAGGAGGAGGAGGAAGAGGAGGTGGAGAAGGATGACGACGATACTGGGGGAGAGGGTGAAAGAAGAGACCGGGACACTGCAATCCAAATTGCACAGCTTCTCCGGGAAAGTAAATACAGGTACATGTGAACTAACTAACATTCACTCATACCCTTATTTCAGCACACAGACATGCAATGTGTGATGTTTAATTGTGTGTAGGAAGGCAGTTGGTCTGTGTATGAGGGCACACTCCATGTTCCCGGAGTCATCATTCTTCTCAGATCTGGCTGACTTGAATGCAGAAAAGCTGATCAACACACTCGCAACACTTTTCAAGGGTATGTTTTCTGCTACTTTGAATGGTCTTCTAAATAACTTCCATTTTAAAGCATCATTCTGAGGAGCACGATAGTGTCAGACAGAAACTTGTGCATCGTCTCACCTCCCTAGATAAGATGACGGGGTTCCTAGTCCAACTAAAAACATGTGCATCTCTCTCCTCAGGCCCAGAGCAAGAGACACCTGAGGCTGCGACGAGTGACGCTCCACTCAGCCCACAGAAAGAGGATGGAGGTAATGAAGGGAGAGAGAGTGAACTCAAAAAGCAGGAGATGTTGGTTCAGTACTTGAAAGACACAGAGAGCTTTGCTCTACAAGTGGAAAGAGCCATTGCTGTCATTAACAACATGCTGTACTGGAAAACTACTACAGGTAATTACAATGAAGTCATTTCATAAATTACTTCATTTTTTTTTTTTTTTTCAATAATTCCTCAAATACACATCATAGCACAGAAGAAAAGATCTGTTGCTACTTCTGATTCGAGACATTTTATATAAATAAAATGTTTACTTTTCTCTGACCTGTGTCCTTGTCCCAGTTGTGCAGGAGGCGGTGCAGTTCTGTGTCACAGCATTTGAGTTTAGTGTGGCTGACTCTGTGTGTGGAGTCAGAAAGATGCTGCCTCTGGTCTGGTCCACTGATGTTACGATCAAGGACGCCATTATCCAGGCCTACAGGCGGCTGTACCTCAACCCTCATGGGGACAACACCAGGTATGCAAACGTTTTTATTTGCTCAAGGCTTGAAGAGTACAATTTAATGTACTGTAGCTCAAATGGCTTTTTGTGTTTGTCCATCAGAGCGAAGGCTCAGACTTTAGTGGACAATCTGTCAGAGCTGATGGTCGACGCTTCATTGGGGACAGTCCAGTGTCTGGAGGAGATTGTGAGTGCCTTAAGCCCCTCATTTGAGCAGTCACTCCCACACTTGATTCTTTTGACAGTTGTTGTTGGTGTTTTTTTCTTGATGCAGGTTCAGGAGTTTTTCAGCAATGAAAGTGCCCTGCAGACTTCAGTGGTACAGGTTTTGTGGGAGAGGTTCTCTGGTAAACGAGAGACTAAGGCACTTCATAGGAGAGCTGCAGTGCTACTGCTGGGTATGGCAGCACGGTGAGACCTTCAAGCTCTTTTTACTTCCTGGATGTGTTGATATTTAATGTCACAGCATAATAAAACTGTTGCCCAATGATGAGACCAAGGCGAATGTGAGCTCAGTGGGTAAGGGTCAGAGCTCTCCTGTGTTCCTGTTGGCTGGTAATCTTGGCTGGGCAGCGGAGATTTGTTGCTTTGCTGTAAGGGCCTGCCTACATTAAGTTAGTTCTTCCCCTCAAGCTCTTCTTCAGAGAAATGCAGGAGAGGGATGGGAAGGGTAATCAGTGTGTGTTTGTGTGTGTCTGGGGGGACATGGGTTGAAGCTCTGTTCTCTCTAATGTCCATTGAGCTATGAGCTGGTTCTTTAGAAATCTGAGGGCATTGTTGTCTTTGAGATGCTGCTTAAGAAATGTGGTATTTTGAGGCATGGTAAACTACTTGTCTGACTTTTTTTTTGTACGTGTTTAGTGCTGAGAGGGAGGTGGTTCTGAGTAATTTGGACACACTCTGCTCTGTCGCTCTGGGTGAGAAGGTTGCTGAAGATTATCTGCTGGCTCGAGACACACTCATCACCATCGTTAATATAACAGACTATGTGAGGGTATGTGTACTCTATATACTACCCTTGAAAAGGTTCGGAAGGGTCGCAATACTTTTTTTTGTTTTTGAAAAGTCTCTTATGATCACAGAGGAAGCTTAAATGTACAGTACAAATTAGTATTGTTAAATATTACAATTTAAAATCATGGTTTAAAGATATTTTAAAGTGTGATTTCTTCCTGTGATGGCCAAGCTAAATTTACAGAAGCAATTACTGCAGGCTTCAGTGTCACATGATTGTAATATGCTGATATGTATGTTCTTGTGTGTTAAAGCAATCCAAGGGTGTCCCCTTCAGGCTTCCAATGGACCACCATCTCTTCAGCTGTCTGTCCCAGGCCATTGCTGATGGTGTGTTCTGTTAGTTTGTTTTTTTGTGTTTGTTTACACCTCGTATTAGCTTTTGTCTTGGGTGATCTGATCATAAGAGTTGGTTAAACCTCTTGCTTTGCCACAATCACCCAATCTGTTGATGCAGGATGTAACATGGTCTCTCTCTCATTTCCCTCTTTCTCATCTGATTTCACTTTCATACATATCTTGTGTTTGGTAACGCCATTCTTCATTTGAACAGGAGTAGTCCAGTCTGACCCCCATTGGCAGACCTTCATGGAACAGGCTGTCCGTCTCATCTACTTCTTAGCAGAGTCACCTGACCAGCTATGCTCCCATCTCCTCCAACGCTCTGCTCGTCTCCTATTGGAACAAATCACCGAAGGCAGAGAGTCCACCCAAACACCACTGCAGGAAGGTGCGTCCCAGGGCTCTGAGGAACAAGGTAATGTGGACATGAGATGTAACTTTTTTTGCATAGTTTTAGAAAATGTTTAGGGTCATTAAGTTTTCAAAAGAAAATCTTGCTTGTACTTACCAATGAGGCTTTCAACTGACTTTACATTGTTACAAAAACAATCAAAGAATTCTATTTCTATTCAAACAGTTTTCACAAAAATATCAAGTAGCATAACTGTTTCAACATTGATTAGGCTAATAAGAGATTTTTCTTAAGCACCAACATTCTGAAGGTTCATGTGATGCTGAAGACTAGACTAAGGATGTTAACAATTCTGCTTTGCCATCAAATTAATGTTGCATTTTAAAATATATTAAAATTGAAAATGTATTTAAATTGTATTAAAATGTCAGAATATTACCATTTCTGAACTCAAACGTTTGTGGTCCGTAAGATTTTCTCATTCGTTTTCCAGTGAATTGTGTGAGCTTGGCCCAGGTGCTGTCACTGTGTGGAGCTGTGGCCTTCTGGCAGGTATCTCACCTTGAGAGGAGTGTCAGCTCTGAGCTACGGCGGAGGAGAGGACAAAAGGAAGAAGAGGAGAAAGAGAATGCACCTGCCAACAAAAAGGTTAACAAAGACGGGCCCCTGTTTGGTCATTACCTGTTTTCTGCACTTCACATTGAAGTGTTGATCTATTATAATGCTGCTAACTGATTTGTGCCTCTTTTGCTAGGCGGCTAATGACAGTTGTGTGGAGGAGGAGCTCGGGCTAGTTGGTGCTTCAGCTGAGGACACTGAAGCGGAGTTTATCCGCAAGATCTGTGAGACTGAATTATTAGCTGGTGAGCCCATCTAATAAAACAAATTTGACTTGATGTTTTGGCTTGGAATGCAAAAAAATCAAGTCCTCATTGTTTATAGAAGGATTTACCTGCTTGACAAAGCACTAAAGCACTGATCCATGTTGCACTTTGCAGAAGGGAACATGTTGAGTGCATTTCTGCCTCTGCTGGTGAAAGTTTGCAGTTCTCCAGGCAAATATTCCCACCCTCAACTCACCACTGCTGCCTGCCTGGCTCTGTCACAGTATATGATGATCAGGTATTTATATTATATTTTACACTAAAATGTAAACGTTTGTCAATTTTTGAAATGGCTAAAAAAAAAAAGCAGCATTAATACATTTATTTTAAGAATTCCTTGAATTGAAGCTTCAAAATAACAGCATTTATTGGAAATAAAAATCTTTTGTAACATTGTCTTTACTGCCAACATTTTTGAACTTGTTATATTGTATAATATTTGCTGCTTCAGTCAACCAATTTTAATCTGTCTTTCTCTAGTCCTCCTGTTTGTAAAGACAATATCAGGCTGCTGTTCACGGTGCTGGAGAAATCCCCACTTCCTGTTGTTAGAGCCAACACAATTGTTGCTCTTGGTGACCTAACAGTCCGCTTTCCCAACATCCTGGAACCCTGGACGCCCAACCTTTATGCCAGGTAGTTCCGAGCCAAAAGGTCTTTCATTAATTTCTGTCTGATAAACAACTACTGGTTTTGGGATATTTTGTATAGTTGTTGTTCCGGAAAGAAATCGTTCTTTCCACCTTACTAAACGTATTACTTTGTTTAAATTAGTAAAGTGCCCTATATTGAAATGAATCAGAACTTTCAAACGGTGGCAGAGTTGTAATTTCACAATTTGGTTTGCAGAGGGCTAAGTTGAATTTAGAGATCCCCCTGATGTATTGGCCAATGATCAGTATAGAACAAAGGCTTTCAAAGTCTGTCCATTTTATCACAATTCAAACAATGGTGTTTTGACTCTTAAATGTGGCATGACCGATCACTGTAGTGCTTCTGTTCAAGCGGCAGTGCAGAACATGAGTTATCTCTTCCACTCTAATACAATTTATAGCACAAAAAACATACATGAAGATATGTTGAAAGATACAGTACAACTTACTGAAATGAACCATGTCTCATGTCGTCGCCTAATCAGTGTTTCAACTGGAAACACATCAGTAAAACAGCTTGTGAGCCATGGTGTCAATTCATTAGTTCGCTTAAACACTAGAGAGGAGCTTATATGTATGCTTGAATAAATTTGTTACGAAGAAGTATTTATGAAAAATACCATATGAGTTGAATATAATTGCTCGGTTTACTTTAACGTCTAACATTATAAAGCATTGGCAAATATCATTCTGAATAATCAGCTATCAGAGTATTTAGTATCGGTGCTATAGTTGAAATGTTTATTACGATGGTGATCAGTATTGTAACTGGTTTGTCTTAAGGTTGAGTGATGAGAACTCATCTGTGCGTCTGACCGCCATCATGGTGTTGACGCAGCTGGTGCTTAAGGATGTGATGAAGGTCAAAGGTCAGGTTAGTGAGGTGGCAGTGCTGCTGCTAGACCCTGAGTCGCACATTGCCAGCCTCGCTCTCAACTTCTTCAACGAGCTCTCTGCAAAGGTAGCATTTCCGTTGCAGCTCTGCTGTCTCTCATATCCCCCTCATAACTCCGAAAACGAGAAGTCCCAATTATAATACTCTGCTTATATCTTCAGGACAACGCCATTTACAACCTGCTTCCAGACATCATCAGCCGATTATCTGATCCTGAGCGTGGAATGAAGGAGGAGGATTTCAACACCATCATGAAGTGAGATATTGTTAATGCTGCTATGGCAGTTTCATTTATTCTACATGACAAATCACTTTGATTTATCCTTCTCTCTCTCAGACAACTCTTTTCCTACATCACTAAAGAGAGACAGACAGAGAGTTTAGTGGAGAAGCTCTGCCAACGATTCAGAACTGCAAAGTGAGTATCGGACACAATGTGCAATTCGTCTATCTGCCTAACCTTAATAGAGCAGCATTTGTGTTGTAAGATTGTGCTGCTTCATGACATGGTCATCTGTCCTGTTCTGTCTGCAGGACCGAGCGTCAGTGGGCAGATCTGGCCGTGTCTCTTTCCCTGTTGTCTGTGTGCGAGCGAGGTTTCAAGAAGCTGCAGGAGTGCTGGGACTGTTACAGTGATAAACTCACCGAGTCTGGAGTCTATCAGCCTCTCCTGTCCATTGCGGCAAAGCTCCGTAGAAGAGCAAAACCACAGTTTAAGGTACTACAATTGCAAATGTGTGGTGGGAAGGGTATCCGCACAGGGCATTTATCATGACCGGTTGCTGTTTGTTCTAGTATGCTGAAAGTAGCTGTTTGTTTAGGCACAGGTTGAAGACTATGAGAAGCGTTTGACGGCTGTTCACACTAAAGGGCTGGAGAATGTGGAGAGCGAGGAGAGAGAACAGCAGACAGGAGACGCACAGAGCCAAAACTTGCATACGCCACAGCCACTGAAGAGTGTGCGCAAATCCACACGAGGTGAAGGTTCAAGCTGAATAGTTCATGAATTAGCATGTACTGTCTGTCATATTTACATCCGGTTATTCTTTGTTATAGATTTGAAAAATAGATTTGTTTGGCTTTACAAGTGAGACTATAGTAGTATTTGTAGATGGTCATTTCTACTAATCCAAAGAGATTTGGTGTCTGTTTTCACGGAGCTGAACTATGATAAAATGAATCTCATTGTGCATCTCCCTCTCCTTCAGGCCGTGGTAAACCAAAATTGGATGACAGTGATCTTGTAACCCCAAGAATATCTCGTTCTCGTCCCAAACCTGCCATCACTTTCACCAGTGATGAAGAGGAAGAGGGTCAGTTACTTTCATATTTTTATCTCTTGAATTGTTTTGCAGAGCTCTTATTAATTCTGATTTTTTTTTTGGCAGATGCTGTCATGGCTGAGAGTGAGACTCCTAAAGTGACGACACCCATCGCCCGCACACGACGCACTCGTCTCAGACACTGAGCATGCTTTTTTTTTTTTAAATACTATTTCATCTTATTTTAAACATTATGTCTGTGACTTTTAAATGTTTAGTATTTTAGTTGTCTCCAGTATGCTATAATCTCTGGATTTTTTTTATTTTTTTTAATTAAAAGTTTTTAAAACACAAAAATAGCTCTGAATGTTTGCTGTTGCATATTGTCTTTTTTATGTAAATGCTTTTAAAATGTTATTTTTCACACCTGTTGAAGGGTTGCACTAACTAGTTCATAAATTAGCATGTAGTCTGTCACATTTACATCCAGTTTTTCTTTGTTTTAAGGCTTTACAAGTGGGACTTTAGTTTTGTAGGCGGTCATTTCTACTAATCTGAAGAGATTTAGTGTCTGTTTTCACGGAGCTGAACTATGTCTGGACAGCTTTTCTTGGTTCTCCAATGCTTCCATTTGTCTTTTCTAGTTTTATAGGACGCACTTTCATTTTTAAGTTTGTTGCAAAGAACGGTAAAAACTTTAAAGGAAACTAAAATAAGATAATGGACCGTGTAAAAGTTCCAGCTGTTTGAGTAATGTCGGGTGGTAGAAACGACCTCAAAGCGCTAATTTTGTAAAGTCGAGTCCACAGTTAAAGGCTCATAATGAGTTTGTTTGTGCTTCGCAAAACCCTTTTTATACGCTGTCTGAAATACGCCAACAACAATGAAACGTATGAGCGAGGTTATTGGCGACAAATGTGCAGATTCAAAACATCTGTACCAAAAAACTTCTGCGATTATGAGAGCATGAGACGGGATTACAACATACAAATTCCTCTGCAGTTTAACTTTGCAAAAGATGTGCTCGAGCAGTGGGAAACAAAAGAAAAGGTAATTTAAGAAGTGTATTAATTCTGCTTCTGGCGTTTTTATTTGAAGCGGGATATTTTTTAATAATATTAAAGAAATTGTGTAGTACTAAACATTTCAGGACATTGAAAATACACGAGAGAGAGAAAAAAAGACAGACCAAATTCGAAGTTGTCGAGGAAACCTGTTTGTTTTGTCATTCCGTCATGCGGTACTTTTTGAATTTGCTAGCGTGTAAATTATTCAAATGAATAAAGTGGAAATAAGGACTTAATTGAGATTACGATTTAATGAGTGTCTGCTTTCTGTCTTTTAAAATTGTTATAAAATGTATGGTGGGACTAAAAGTGAAATACCACAAAACATGACTAAAGTCATCAGGTCAGTTACTAATAATAATTGAAGCTCTAAGTTGTATTTTTTTCACTCCAAAATGGTCAGTTATGGAGCTTGGTTTTATTAGTTCGTTTAAAAACAAAATTTCATAATTTACTAAACCTCCAGTTGTTCCACATTAATTGATTTAACTAACACAAAAGGAGCTATTAGCAGGTAATTAAGTAGGAATTATAATTTTGTGGGTTTTTGTTTTTTGGTGACTAGTGCAACAGAAACTCATGCACATAGAGATATATAATGTAACAATGTCTGTGGTGACTTAAAGCAGTAGTTAACTTTAAAAAAAAAAAAAAAAAACTTATTCTGATAATTTACTCACCCCCATGTCTTCCAAGATGTCCATGTCTTTCTTTCTTTCTAATAGAAATTTTGAAAAGGTTTTTGATCAGAAACTCGTGCACATAGAGATATATAATGTAACAATGTCTGTGGTGACTTAAAGCAGTAGTTAACTTAAAAAAAAAAAAAAAAAAAAACTTATTCTGATAATTTACTCACCCCCATGTCATCCAAGATGTCCATGTCTTTCTTTCTTTCGAATAGAAATTTTGAAATGGTTTTTGATGAAAACATTCCAGGATTTTCTCCATAAAATGGACTTCATTGCGAACCAAACAGTTCATGGTCCAAATGAGAGTTTCAGTGCAGCTTTAAAGGGGGGATTGACTGCTTTTTTTCTTTGCATGATTGTTTTATGGGGTGCAATATAACATGTATTCGTGGTTTTTCTTTTTTTTTAAATCTTATTTTTCATAAACTTCACCTTTATTGTAGCCGCGCTCTCCTCTGTCCTCGAACGAGCGGTTGACTTCCTGATTCTATGAAACCACTTCCTCAGAAACAGGCAGTGGGCTCAGATTGGTTAGTTTGGGCTGGTGTGTGGTGATTGACATTACCTTCACGGGCGAAACGTGCCTGCGCTCCGGTCCATTCATGTCGTCGATACTACAGTATCAGTTTGATGCAGAATCAGACCGAGAAAGTCATGAAGCATATATACATGAAAAATACATTTACAACATACTTATACAAAATTCAGGTCCATAATGTTTGTACGCGTTTGTCGTAGACACAAAATAGCATAACTAGTAGCCTAGTGGTGGCTATAAAGTATGGAAGCTTGTTTCCGCCATTGAAAAAAAAATATAATAAAGAATTGTGACTTTTTATCTTACAATTCTGACTTTTTTTCTCACAATTCTGACTTTTTTTTCTCACAATTGCGAGTTTATATCTCACAATTCTGACTTTATTTCTCAGAATTGCGTGATATAAAGTCGCAATTGCGAGTTATAAAGTCAGAATTGCGAGATATAAAGTCAGAATTGCGAGATATAAAGTCAGAATTGCGTGATATAAAGTCAGAATTGTGAGATATAAAGTCGCAATTCTGAGAAAAAAAGACCGAAGTGTGACTTTTTTTCTCACAATTGCGAGTTTACATCTCGCAATTCTGACTTTATAACACATAATTGCGAGTTTATATGTCGAAATTCTGACATCTTTTCTCAGAATTGTGAGATATAAACTCGCAATTGCGACTTATTAGGCCAATTCTTTTTCCCCCATCAGAAGAGTTTAAATCTCACAATTCTGACTTTATATCTCGCAATTCTGACTTTAAAACTCGCAATTGCGACTTTATATCACGCAATTCTGACTTTATAACTCACATTGCGACTTTATATCACGCAATTCTGACTTTATGTCTCGCAATTCTGACATTATAACTCGCAATTGCGACTTTATATCACGCAATTCTGACTTTTTATCTCGCAATTGCGACTTTATATCATGCAATTCTGACTTTATATCTCGCAATTCTGACTTTATAACTCGCAATTGCGACTTTATATCACGCAATTCGGACTTTTTATCTTGCAATTGTGAGAAAAAAAGTCAGAATTGTGAGATAAAAAGTCGCAATTATTTATCTTATTTTTTTATTCAGTGGCGGAAACAAGCTTCCATAATAAAGCCAGCGCTGGCATTTGAAAAAAAAAATAAAACACAAGGCTCCGTCTGGAATTATACGTACTACATTTAAAATGATTAAGTCCCAACAACTGCTGCCTCTGGTTTTAAAGTTGGAACTGCTTCATGTTTTAGTAACAGTTTCTTGTTGAATCTGGCATTGAATTCATGGAGATTCTGGAAGCTGTCTTCCATAAAATGCGCAGCACAGAGAGCTAGATTACGATCGTCATTTTCAGGAACATAATCAAAGATAAATTGTATCCATTATTGACGAAGTACAGCATCCGTGGGAAGCTTGAACACAGAAGACCTGACATCTGCGTGAACAACACACTTGACCAGCTGCAGTAATATGCGCATGCCCTTTTTTGCATTTTCCGGAGGGAGGGGTTGATGCAAATGTGTGGGTTAGTGACGTCTAAAACCCAGCTGTAGTCCCAATCGAGTCGTTTTTGTAGGCAATGTACTTCCTGATTTTTAAAAGACGATTGCTGTGTCCGAAATCTCCACTCAAAGCACTACTCCCTACCCCCTATGTTGGGGGTATAGAGCAGAGCACTATATAGTGAGCTCACCAGCATAATAGAAACACCACTTTCGGACACTACTCGATCGTCTCTCGGCGCCGTTGATTACATCATCTGTCAGCTGGTGCCGAGCCGCCTCTGGGCTAAATAGATTTTTAAAAATAAATACATAACATTTTATTGAGCTTATTTCTCCAAAATTTGAAAACTAAAAGTGATTTCTGGCTGTTTTTGTTATAATGAGCTACTCCACACATGATTAACGTATTTTTACGATCAGTGCAATGCATGATGGTATGTAGGGCTTAGGTTAGTGACCATCGGTTGTACACTACTTTTCAAAATGCATTCTGGGATATATTGAGTGGACTATATAGGGTATAATAATCATCACTATACATTCGGACAGCACTACAAAATGGCGAGCTCACTATATAGTCCACTATATAGTGAGTAATGGGTGATTTCGGACACAGCAGATATCTCTGCTTACACTGAACTTTCAGCGCTGCAACTTTGCAGATACTGTTCATGCACCAACAGCAACATTACACACTATTTAAAATGAAAAAAGTGAAATCGCAATCCCCCTTTAAATGAGCAATCGTTTCGCTTGATAAGACCCTTATTCATCGTCTGAAATTGTTTAAAGCCCTTTGAAGCTGCACTGGAACTCTTGTTTGGACCTTGAACCGTTTGGTTCCCATTGAAGTCCATTATATGGATATCTTGGATGACATGGGGGTGAGTAAATTATCAGCAAAAGTTTTTTTTAAAAGTGAACTAATCCTTTAATAAAAAAATACTGTATAGTATTATCCAAGCTTAATTTTAATGTCTTTTAATTTGTAAAAACTAAAAATGTACAATGCAGATGCTTGTGAGAAAGTTTGATGTACTGTTGCTGTATATTACAGAACGGACAGAGGTCGTCTCTTCCAGCTCTGTGGTGGGTGAATGACAGCGGAGAAGAGGTCAGATGGAGTTTTGAGGAGTTGGGCTTCCACTCAAGAAAACTTGCAAATGTTCTGCATCAGGTGTGCAGTTTGGAAAGAGGGGATCGTGTGTTCCTCATTTTACCCCGAGTCCCTGAGTGGTGGCTGGTTAATGTAGCATGTCTCAGAACAGGTACAGTCTTACAGACCTGCTGAAATAGATCGTTGTTGGGGTTAAACTGTAATCTACTTTTATTGCTTCACACTGCTGGGGAAATATGCTGGTTTGGACCAGCTTAAAGTTGAATTGTGTCATTTTAATATGGTTAAAATAAAATAAAAACATATCCACTAATGGATAAGCTGCAGACATTTAAATTCCTCACTATTTTGCCTAAAATAAATGTTGAACATGTTTTTCTAAATGCTGAAGTTAAATGTAGCCATCAGAATATTGTAATATAGGGTTAATTCAGGATAACTAAAACATTTTTTATTTTATTTTTAAAAAATGTCCCAATTTACCCTACAGTACTATGAGTAGGCAGTTCACTACTTAACCTCTTCTCGCTTGTCCTTTAAACACCTTTCATCCTTACCCCATTTCCTCACACAGGTACGGTTCTGATCCCCGGCACCTCTCAGCTCACGGCTCGAGATATCCGCCACCGGCTGCAGTCGTCTGGGGCCAAGTGTGTAATCACAGATGAAACTTTGGCCCCACTCTTGGACACAGTAGCCTCAGAATGCCCTTCCATCTCCACCAAGCTTCTGCTATCCCGCAGGGCCATGCATGGCTGGGGCAACCTGACAGAACTCATGGGGTCAGTGGAGAACAAGGCATATGAATGTACAGGGGACACTTTAAATTAGTGAAGAAATGGCTGAGTGCATACATTAAACGGGTGAAAAATTATAAAGTAGTGAGACCTTTATAGAGACATTTTTAATGTTATTACCAGATGTTTTGTTTGCGTTGTAGAAGAGTGTCAGATGATCATGTTTGCGTGGACACCAGGAGTGAGGAGGCCATGACTATCTTCTTCACTAGTGGCACAACCGGCTCTCCAAAAATGACCCAACAAAGCCACTGTAGTTACGGTCTTGGACTCACGGTGAACGGCAGGTTTGTGACATCATTCCAAGGGTCAGTGGGCTGAATTTATGACTGATCAGCACTGCATTGAGAAGTTAAAAAAAACATATACAGTAGCTAAGGATACATTTCAAGTTTATATATATATATATATATATATATATATATATATATTATAATTGTACACTACTGTTCCAAAGTTTTGTGTCAGATTCTTTTGCCCTGAAAGCATTTATTTTGCAAGAACAACATTAAATTGATAACTTAAAAAGTGACTTTAAAGCTACACTGTTTGATTTTTACCCCCATCTAGTGGTGAAAAGGTATATGAACATCCAGGGAATATCGTTTTAACTCCTACGGTGGCCAATGTAGTCCAAGATTAACATGGCTTCCAGTTCGACCTCGTCCATGAGTGTTAACTCAAACGTAAACGTGAAAGGCGAAGCTTGAATTAATGGGTATGTCCCTCTTTGGCTAATGTACTTTCAAGATGGAGGGGCAACATGGCGACAGACATTAGAACCCCTTAACCGTATGTATTTTCAGCGGCATATTATACACTCATGAGAATACTTTATTACTCGAACGAAGTAAATATACATTAATAAGCACATATATTTTTGAAAGAACTAAGTGTTTTAGCTAAGAATAAACTAAAAGAGTTACACAGTGTAGCTTTAAAGACATTTATAAAGTTAAAAAAAAAGGTTTATATTAATTAAATGTTGTTCTTTTGAACTTTCTGTTTACCAAAGAATCTTGACAAAATGCATTTTGAATATTAAGCAGCAGAACTGTTTTCAACATTGATATTAATTAAAAATTGTTAATTCAGCATCAAATCAAATTTGAACAGAAGTGTATAATGAAATCTAAATGTATATAAATTGTGTGAATTCTGCAGGTATTGGCTGGATCTGACTGAGCAGGATGTGTTTTGGAACACGTCAGACACGGGTTGGGCCAAGTCGGCGTGGAGCAGCGTGTTTGCTCCGTGGATCCAGGGAGCATGTGTGTTTGTTCACCACATGCCACGCTTTGAGACAAGTACAGTTCTCAAGGTACAGGAAGATCACAGGTCCATTCTTGACAAGAATGTTCTGCTTGGAAGTTAAGGATCAAAAGGATCAATCGTGTTGTATGAAAATGTTTTATGGAAAACAAAATCACAACACTTAATCCTACTTTAAAGAGACATTGCAAATAGACAGTAGCTTTGGAGTTGGTAAGAATTTCTTCTGCTCACCAAGACTGCATTTATTTGATCAAAAACACAGTAAAATGTAATATTGTGAAATATTATTTGAATTTTAAATAACAATTTGAATATATTTTAATATATAAGTATATAATTTACTTTGATTAATAGAAAGTTCAAAAGAACATAATTTATTTAAATTGGAATCTTTTGTAATGCTATAAATCCTTGCTAAATAAAAGTATGAATTTCTTAGTGACCTTTGAACAGTAGCGCATTTATTATTTATTGACTTATTTTACTAGAACACATTCAATGAAAGCTTTCTGGTAACACTCATGTTTTCTCCTAACAGACTTTGAGCAGCTATCCCATCACCACCTTCTGCACGGCACCAACAGCCTATCGAATGCTTGTACAGGACGACATATCCAGGTACTGACCGTCCTATGATATATTTGAATTCAAACGAATTATCTAAAGTTACAAGTTCTTTATAGACTTCATTTGTTGGTTTTATGATTGCGTTTGTATATAGTGTCTGTAAAAGTTAATTTTGTTGAATTGAATAGCATATAAGTTGCAAAATGTTTAACTGACCTGGCTAGTAAATGACTGAGGCCTTATCCCGGACTTGGAATCCAGATGAATATGTCTGGTCCAGGTGTAATCCTCATCTTTGCCTGTGGTTTCTGGCAGGTATAAGTTCCCTGCTCTTGAGCACTGTCTGTGTGCAGGAGAGCCCATTAACCCAGAGGTGATGTGGAAATGGAAAGAACTCACTGGACTGGACATCTATGAAGGATATGGACAGACTGAGACTGTAAGGATCAATATAGACAGGGCTGAAAATGGGTCCTGCATCTGTTTTCATCCATATTATATAGTCATTGATTCATTAACAAAATTCATAATGAACAGAACGAGAGTAAAGTAAATCTAACCTTAGCCTTGTGTGCTGTCACACACAATATAGTCATTCCTCTGTTTTTTCTCCCAGGTTTTAATAGCTGGCACATTCAAAGGCATGAAGATCAAACCAGGATCTTTTGGAAAGGCTTCTCCAGGATATGATGTTCAGGTGCAGTGACAAGTCTGTCCAGGGTTTAAACTGGGAATAATAGTGGTTAAGTTGTATACTTACTGGCTTCATATTCAATTTACTATGAAATCAAAATGGACCATTCCTATTTTTTTTATGGAATATTACATTATTGATGTTACATTAAAATAACTTTCCCTACCTCTTGCAGCGCCTCTTCTCTTCTCTGAGATGTTTACTGGTGTGAGGTCGGGGCAACCTGTCACTCACATGACATCACAGCAATTACAAATCACAACCATCAAATCTATTCCTGATGGACAAAATCAAGCCCTGCCCTACTTTTTTTTGTTTGAGAAGCCGTTTCACTCAAATATACATCATAAAAGTGATGAAAAGACTTGTTTCATGCTGACTTTAAAGAGGATCTATTATGCTTTTTTTTTACTTTTTACAACTCTTTAGTGTGTAATTTTGCGGTTTGGACGCAAACAACTGAGATAACAGGTGTTTTTTTTTTTAAACAGGAGCTTTTCACTGATTTTCTGTGAGGTGTTTTAGTAATTGTGGACTGCTTTGGTTTAAGGTGCTAGATGAAGATGGTTCTGTTGTGCCACAAGGACAAGAGGGAGACCTCAGCATCAGAGTGAAACCAGACAGACCCTTCTCTCTTTTTACAGAGTATACGGTACGTTTTCATTTTCTCAGCTCTGTACTACTAACAATAAAGCTGTTGAGCTGGAGTTGATTGATCTAAATTCATCCTGTAGGGGGAGCCGGAGCGCACGGCCGAATGTTTCCGTGGTGATTTCTACCTGACGGGTGACAGGGGAATGATGGATGAAGAAGGATACCTGTGGTTCATTGGCAGAGCTGATGATGTCATCCTGTCCGCAGGGTATGAATTCTGCTTTGGTTATGATGATGATGATGATGTCAGGTTTTGTAATCTGACATCTATGGAGTGTGCGTGTTTTAGGTACCGCATTGGTCCGTTTGAGGTGGAAAACGCTCTGATAGAGCATCCAGCTGTAGCAGAATCTGCTGTGGTCAGCAGCCCTGATCCGGTTCGTGGAGAGGTAGTGCAATGCATTCTGGGATTTCCTTCTCAGTAAAGGGTACATGCAGTGTGACCTTAGAATTGGACAAAAATGTACAAAACTTTAAAAAATGCTGTCTAAGTAGGCAGCTCAATTAATCTTCTATTTAGTTTAAGTAAAATTGTAACCATAATTTTTACACGCATGGAATACAACATGTAAATTGCATTGACTTCATGTTTCAGGTGGTGAAGGCTTTTGTAGTGCTGACAGCAGATTTTAAATTTAGGGACCATAAGGAACTGATCCAGGAACTGCAAACTCATGTGAAGACTGTCACTGCTCCTTATAAATATCCACGCAAGGTAACTTACAAATAGAGCTAATTTAATTCTTTCAATTTAGTCAATTTTAAAGGTATATTTTGTTCCAACATTCAAATGTTTAAACCTTTTTTTTTTTTTTTTGTCAGATTGAGTTTGTGGATCATCTGCCCAAGACAATAAGCGGGAAAATAAGACGAGTGGAGTTAAGAAAAAAGGAATGGGGACAGGAAACTAAAAGCTAAAACTGGATATGAGAAAACAGGTTTCTGTTCAAATCGCATTCCTAACTTTATGTCAGATAGTTCAGTCTCATAAATTGATCTATAAACCCGTAGTCCTTCGGCACGCCTGCAGATAGCAGCATTTCATTACAATCAAGTTGCAAAACTCATTTCTAATTTCATGCCAAATACAATTTAATAGGTTTTAATGATTCTACCTCACGTTGAAGTAACAAAAAATGTATAAGCTTTGCCATTCAAAAATATATCTTTTGTTATTTTAATCTTAAATTGTAGACTATATTCTGCATATGCAAAAATGTATATGTTTTGCATAATAGTAAGCAACGCATTTATATAATTAAAAGCCCCTTTTGAATGAATAAATAAAATAGTTTTTGGGTGACTTTGTTTGATAAACCATGTTTCTTCCAAACACAGAGCGCGCCTTTATTCCTCAATATTAGTCCATGATGTCATGTGATTGATGACCGATGACAGACACAAATCTGATCTTTGCTGAATGATAAGACTATTTTACGGTTATGAAGATTTCTGAATTTGATTACATTTTACCCTACAGAGGAATGCAGTGACTTATCATATGACAACTCTGTTGGTAAACTAGTTTTGACCACAGCATCACTGCTACAGCAGACAGATGACTTTAGCTTTTCAATAAATAAATAAATAAAATAACACCCACAATTTATGAAAAATATTTTCAACATTTTTCAAGCTGCTCAAACCTAAACTAGCCGAGCTGTGAATTGCCCACACTGGTTATTCAAAGAGCACAGAGTGAGAAATGTGATGGCGCAGCAGTAAAGACACACAGGTGCTTGTGTAATTGACCTGTTAATGGGGCTTATGCTTATCAGGTGGAAAAACAGAGCCATAGATTTTATTACTGAAATATCAAGCCAAAATAACCAGAAATCATGCCTGGTGTATGTCATTAAATCTGACTTTGGATGTTTGTTTTGACAGCCTGAAGGATGTCGTACGTGTATCTCAGAGCATTTGCAGATGAATCTGTCGGATTTGGTTTGCAGCAACTGATTTGAATTGCTCAAACTGCAAACTCGATGTCAAAACCTGTGAGCCGCGTAGGCCTACCTGTCCTTACAAAACAAAAAGTACTGTGGCTGTACCTTCAATGGTACCAGATGGTAATATGTATATGTTGGTATGCAGTGGTTTGATACAGGTTTGAGAACTCTAATGAAGGGGAAAAAATGTGTGTGTGTGTGTGTGTGTGTATATATAAATATATATATATATATGAATTACATGTATAGGGTTAGGTTTAAGATTAATTGCATGTAATTATGCATAATTTGTTGTTATTAGTAGGCCTAACTGCTACATGTAATGACAAAGGCACTGTAAAATAAAGTGTTATCATTTGGATAGAAAACTTGGACTTCAGAATGTCCAATTTGGTCTGTCATTATCATTTTTAGTTGTCTTAGTTAGAATTTAAATTCAGCTATATAGGCCTGTGGTCAAAGACTATTGGAAAACTAGTCACCGTTTTAATCCTCTTTTTGCCACCAGTCCTGCGGTGTGACAAGTTATTTGTCAAAACTAGAAATACTCCATAAAGTGTCTAATTTGAGGTCATATTGACTTTTAACGAATTAGCAATGCTGTTTAAAATAGTTTTAGACGGAGTACAGCATATTACAAAGTCAACGTGGTCAAGCATTTCATGTCGACTACACGTTTAGGCCTACTTCAGAGAAAGTTACCATGGTAATATTACCATTAATACTATTATAGTTATATATATAACTAGAGAAAATGGTAGTAACCTACTTGTAGTCAGTCAGCGTCGAGCCAGCGTTTTTGTACATTCTGAGTTGCTATCAGAGTCAGCTGCACGCGCCGATGATGCCCAGGAAAGCTGTTTAGGTAGAAAGAAGCGCACTACTGGTTTTGATTAAAAGAGGGTTTTAGGGCATTAACTTGAGCGTTGTCAGGGAAAACAGCAGTGAGGTGCGCACGGGTCACCGACTCGGATCTTTATGGATTATTATTTTTCTCTGCATCAACAACTGCAAATCACGTGAGATGAATGTGCAATGACAGTGTCCCGACACCGAACGGTCTCACGCAGTTCTCGAGGAACGGACACGCGCTCACACACCTTCATGTAATCTAGCGCTTCATCGTATTTTTTTTTTTACTGTTTTTTTTTTTCTTTCTTTTTATTTTGCTTTTTGGTTTGGGTTATTTCCCAGCAATGGCTTGGCCGTGTATCAGCAGAGTCTGTTGCTTGGCTCGCTTCTGGAACCAGTTCGATAAATCGGATTTGTCGGTTCCGCTAACGATTCAGAACTACTCGGACATCGCGGAGCATGAGGTGCGATCTGTCACCAAACTCGTTTCCACGGAGCAGGCACCGAGGGTCGACTTCGTTACGCCGGATCACGCTGCTGGAGTCCGGCGGCCTCAGCGGGGACGGACCGAACCGAGTTATAAACCCCGCGAGGACTACCATCCCTCGGGTGTGCCTTTCCCGAGCATCACCCAGTATAAACAGGATTACAAACCCTGGCCCATCCCGAAGAAGGATAACTTTCCCTGGATTAGTAACGGAGGGAAAGGCGGCACTTTGACGGACAGCCCGGTGAACGGGTACCCTGACGGGGCGGAGAGACAGGAGCGTGGCGGCCGCCAGAGAGCAGGAGATCAGATCAGCTCATACAGGTACTGATGTTCCTGCTGTTCTTCAGCACATCTCAGTCACTGCAACACACTCTCACTACTCAACAGAATAGTTATTATCAGAATCATGGGTAAATAGGTTTTACTGATCCAGCAAAGATTGGTATGGGAGTTTATTTTAGTAAGTATACACATTACATAGGCTAGATAAAAAATTCCATAATAATATTTTTATTTTATTTAGCCTAGCTAGATGTACTGAGTAAAAATAAATCTAACGACATTTTTTTTTCTCTATTTTGTATGCACCAAATACTCCTTTTAAGTATAATAATAATAATAACACACTCATATTTATTTTGTATGACAGATAAAATGTGGTGTCTCTGAGATATGTCCACTATAATGTTCAAAAATCAATCGATGGGGAATACATTTGATAGCTTTCAAAGTGCCCTTTCTTTGAAGATAGTTTGCTGTGGTGCTGTAACGGGACATGGTTGTGCATTGCAGTGATTTTCAGATAGTGTGACCACTGTCATGCATATTTCATCTGATGGCTCATTAAAGACCATAATGACACTAAAATAATCACATAAAACAGTTATTTAATTAGAACACAATGAATTATGAACAGTCCTCTCTGTGTTCATCAGCCTTTGGTTTCTAAAGGAAGTGTGATCATATAAAACCTACACTTCCAACATTATTGACCCGAACATTTCATAGATTCTCTAACTTTAGTTTCACTTCTAAATTCCTGAACAGGAATGTAGAGTACGGATAGTGAGCATCATTTTTCATACAGGTTATGCTAAAGTAAATCTATGGTGGGGAAAGTTGCTTTTAAAAAGTAATGCATTAAAGTATTGCATTACTCCCTAAAAAAGTAACTAATTGCATGTCTGAGTTACTTATTATGTTAGTAATTTGTTGTTACTTTTTTCTCATCTGGACTAGGCTTGCTTGTTTTTTTTAATACAAAAAAGTTCTATTTTTGGCTAATTTAATGGCGCTTTCACACCAAAAGTGAAATAAATAAGCCTCAGATTGAAGGAAATGCAAATTCACGCCAGTAGAAAGCGCAGGTCAAATAAACATTTCAGCTGCGCCACCATTCTCGGACGCAGGAGAATAAAGTTTAAAACCCTTCAGCCAAAAAAAGAAAAGAAAAAGATATTCAGACATTTAGTTGTAAATGTAATAATAATGCGTTACTTAAAGGAGTAGTTCAGTTTTAAAAAAACGTTTGCTGATTAATTTACTCACCCCCATGCTATCCAAGATGTCCATGCCTTTCTTTCTTCAGTCGAAAAGAAATTAAGGTTTTTGATGAAAACATTCCAGGATTTTCTATCTATAATGGACTTCATTGGGAACCAAACGCTTCAAGGTCCAAATGAGAGTTTCATTGCAGCTTCAAATGGCTTTAAACGATTCCAGATGATGAATAAGGGTCTTAACTAGGTCCCTTTGAATCATGACTCGAAAAAAGATTTGTTTATTTTGTTGAACGAGTTTGAACAGGAGAGTCACGAACGCTCATCACAGAACAGAGCAATGAGAGCATTTGTGCTTATAAAACTTAAAACTTTTTTTATTTATTTTTTAAATGAGCGATCGTTTCGCTAGATAAGATCCTTATTCATCGTCTGGTGCCGTTTAAAGCCCTTTGAAGCTGCAATGAAACTCTCATTTGGACCTTGAACCATTTGGTTCCCATTGAAGTCCATTTTATGGAAAAAATCCTGGAATTTTTTTAAAAGTGAACTACTCCTTTAACTAGTTACTGAGAAAAGTAATCTGATAACATAAATTGCGTTACTTGTAATGCGCTACTCCCAACACTGACGTTGGGCACCTGTTGCTCTCATTTTGCAGCCTGACTTTAACTCAGCCCGACATCTGCTGCTCTTCACTGCAGATCCTCAGGGCTCCTCTCTGTTTTTGCCTGTCTGTCTTTTTCTGTCCCTGTCTGATACATTTAATCTTTCTCTGGAATCAGACAGGAGCACCAGCCCTGGTCTGGAGCCCGGCCGCCAAAGCCTGGCCACAAACGGCCCACTTTCCTGGGTACAGGTGCTGACAAGCCCCCGCCGGAGACCAGCTACCAGGCCGCCTTCAGCACGGACACACACAGACACACGGACGGGGTACAGGAGACCAGCACACGCGGCCTGTCAGAGAGAGCACACACACACAGGACAGAGATCAGCATGAAACCAGAGGTGAGTGTGAGGACGGATCAGAGGAGACGTGGGGAGAAGAGGAGGAGTTTAAATCTGACAGCCGCTGATGTGACAGAAACTTTCAAACCATACTCAGCTGAATGAGCATGAACTGCTTCCACTGTGATATAATCAGCAGCAGATCAATGTGTGAAACCAAGTTCAAATATATATATATATATATATTCTTTATGTTTACAGGCAAATCATTAAGAACAAGTTCTTATTTACAATGGCAGCCTAACAAGTTGAATAACCACTTAATAATATATATATATATATATATAGATTTATATATATATAATTTATTTAAAGAAATTAATAATTCAGCAAGTACATATTAAATCGATAACAAGTGACAATATAGATTTAAATTACTAACAAACAAAACTTTTAATAAATGTTGGTTTGAACTTTCTGTTTATCAAAGAATCCTGGATAAAAATATCAGTATTTATCACAAAATAAAAATATATATAAAAATATTTATCACAAAAATATGAAGAAGCACAATGTTATCAACACTGATAACACGAAATTTTTCTTGAGCACCAAATAAGCATATTAGAATGTATCATGTGACACTGAAGACTGGAGCAATGATGCTGAAAATTCAGCTTTGCATCACAGGATCAAATTAAATGGAAGTAAACAGGTATTGGGATGGTTTTAGCAGAAATATGCAAATGTTATAGTTGTGAAAGCATTTGCATGAATTATTCACGTTTAATATTTGAGCTGTAAAGTTGACACATCATCCTTTTGAAGTGGGTTTACTTTTCAAGGTAAATGAACTTGTCGCAATAACCAATGTCATTTATAACTGTAACATTGTGACAAATCATAATGACTTTCTGTGGTAATCATCATATTTAAACCTAAACCCATAATTATGTAAGCAGAGATATTGATTTGGGTAACCTTTTAGGTTAATCTGCTAAATCAAGCCTAATATGAAATTAAATTATTATATATATATATATATATATATATATATATATTAACACTGATCCCTTTCTGGGACAAATGAGAGTTTTAGGTCAGTCTTTAGGGCTGATCTAGTAAAAGCGCTGATTCATTGGGATTATGTCATCGGTGACCCGCTCCTGTGTCCTGTTATGTGAATCTAGTCTGAGCGCTACCCGTCAATAATGATCCAAACTAACTGAAACAGCTGAAGAGGTCAGCTTTAACCCTGCTTACTGTCCAACAAAAAAGCAGGATTGAGACCTGCAGTAAAGTATGCACTAATTAGGGTTCATTATTTAGTCCTAATTACTCCCTGGGTAACCCATGCATGCTGTACCTCACGCATGACCAGTGAGGAAAGAAACACACAATGCCAGGAGTCTGAGAGGCAGATCAATGAGAATTTGTGAAGCATTTGTGCTCCTGGTTTAATGTCTCTGTGATTGAGTTGTAACTCGGCACTCTCCATTTGTCAAGCTGTCATATAGATCCACTAGTCTGACTTGTTTTTTTTTTTTTATGAAGGTTGTACGGGTCTGATATCCCTCTATGGGAGTAGTTGGATCTCTATACGAGAGATTTTAACACACAATTGTGAGAACACTTATAATGTTGAACATACGGCTACTGCATCATACTCTGCAGTAGAGAAGTAGACGTGCTCTCTTTCAAATATCAGAGGGACCATTCTTTCTACTTCATTATTGTTATAATTTTTTTTAATTTTTATGTTTGTGAGGCTGATTTGTTTGCTTACAATGTGTGGGTTATGTGTACTGATAGAGTCTAGTACACTGGGGAGTTGCGTGACTAAGCCAGCTGGCATTATTTAAGCCGTCCCAAGGCTTTAACTCACACACAGCTCGTCCTGCCCTCCCAATCTCCCTCCAGATGATGCATCTAATTTAATTGTAAAAGGCAGACTGACCGTCCACTGTTCCTAATGGAGAGACAAAACCAGATGATCATTCTTTAATCTATTCATTATTGTTTTCTGTAAGACCATCCGTTTGTTACGGAAGCTAATTTCTGCCGACTTTTTCTCCCACAATTCTGACTTTTTTTTCTGCAATTGCGAGTTTATATCTCAGTTCTGAGAAAAAAAGTCAGAATAGCAGGATATAAATTTGCAATTGTGAGAAAAAAAGTCAGAATTTGGAGTTAATCATCTCACAATTATGACTTTTCTCTCAGAATTATGAGATTTAAAGTCAGAATTTGGGATATATAAACTCAAAATTGTGAGGAAAAAAGTCGCAATCAACTTTTTTACACGATACCGCGTTTAACTAAAAAACTGAAAACTTTTTATGCATTTTGACCATTTGTTTACACGACAGCTGCAAAACCAACCGGCACCTTCTGGTCTCTCTTGAATCCAACATGGAAGTGACTTAAACTGCAGTTCATCAACTGGCCGCTAGAGACAGGCTCCAAAAGAGAGTCAATCCCATAGACCCCCCCTGTTTTGGGGGCCCGAAAACACAAACAGGTTTGTAAACAGGTTTCAAAGTGCAGGTTTTTGAAAACGATGCGTCATGGAGTTGTCTCCATGTAAACTAAAAAAATGTGAATTTGTAAAAAAAAAAAAAAAAAAAAAAAAAAAAAAAATCGACGTCATGCGCATATAAACATATTTGGCCTGCCAGCAAAATAAACCGTGTTTTTTTTGTTTCGTTTTCCCCCCGCATTTTTAGTACATCATTATCGAGTAATTGCACCCTAAGGCCCTGTTTACACGAGAACGCTTGCGGGTGAAAACGTAAAAATATTTTATCGGATGTGCCTTTCGTTTACACGGTGACGGCGTTTGTGAGGCTTAAAAACGCAAAAAAGTGAAACCACCCTCCAGAGTGGAAATCTTAAAAACGCTCCACCGCCGCATTCCCGTGTAAAGGTAAAAACGCAAAAGTCTGCTTGACAGTGAAGGTTGTACGCAGGCGTGCGGGCTTGGTGTTGTTGTGTGGCAGTGCTTCACATCGCCGCCTAGCCGCCTGGAGTGCATACTACATTGAATTTCACACACTTCTGCATCACCATATGCACGCGGATTTCCCACACAAAACGGTCGTCTAAACGCAGAAAAAAGTGATAACGCAACGCCACTTTTGCATTTTCTCTTCAGAATCGTTTCCGTGTAAACAGCCTAAATGAGGTCATGGATCACTCCGCTGATGAATTGTTGAGTTGGATCAGCTGTGTTGGATAAAACGATCTGCAGGGTTCAAAGAGCAAGATTTGGAGAAACACTGTTGTAGAGATCAAACCTACACAGGTTTCACAGTGAATAAATCCCAGGGTTTCATAACTTGTCATGTAACCTTAAAATGACAGTTAAACAGATTATATAAGCTTTTAAGTTGACATCAGTTTCCCATACGACAGCACTCTGTCCCGGATGGTCAGCAGCCTATGTCAGATGACAGATAGATGTGGACCATGTTCAAAGTAGAATATTACTGTACTGTATACTGCATACTATATTTTAAATAATTTATTCCCATGATGGCAAAGCTGAATTTTCAGCATCATTACTTCAGTGTCACATGATCCTTCAGAAATCATTCCAATATGCTGATTTTCTGCTCATAAAACATTTATCAATGCTGAAACCGTGATGCTTTTTAAAATTCTTTGAATGGATACTTGAAGAACAGCATTTATTCGAAATAGCAATTTTAAATGTCTTTATAAATGTCACTTCTGATCAATTTAATGTATTTTCTGAATAAATAATAATAATAAAAAAAATTGAAAACAAGCCCTAATATCATTTCAGAAATAATTTTTTAAGTTAGTTTGTCTCAATGGCCAAATTTGCATACTGTGCCCAATATTAAGGTGCGTTCATGCCATTTCATAATTACCGTAACGATTATGAACTGTAAAAACTAAAAGCCTTTATGTGCTTGTTGAAGATGTGTAAAAAATAGTAAATTGTACCACCTGACCACTGCAGATTTAAGATGTGTTCGACTTGAAGCGGCATTTATGGTAATTCCGACATGGCATGAACGCAGCATAATTCATTCATAAAGCATTTCCATCTGTAATAGGTAGTATGCCATTCTGAAGACCTGAACCATGAACAGTGCCTGCTGCTTTAAGCAAGTCTGTGTGGCTGAGGGTGTCGAGTTCTTATTCTAGAAACGCTAAACAGTGTGAGAGTGTGTGTGTGAAAGAGAACAAGTTTAGTAGATGATAAATCTAATTTTCACCTCACTGCTTGGCTTCTCATATAGCAAACTCGTCTTAGATGTCAGAGAGAGAGAGAGAGAGAGAGAGAGAACAAGGCAAAGAACAAAAAATAGATCATGGAGGCAGGGTGGAGGGAGATTATATACTATAATATGGGACTTGGACGATCACATCACAACTTATAGGTAATAGTATGCTAAAGCTGGCCAAATTGTGCTCTATTTTTAGTTTTTTATTTTTGAAGTGTGCATACAGTTTAGGCTAATATGTCCCACAACACCTTGCTGCAGGAGAGGAGGGGAGTATTCCATGACCTTATGGTTATTTTCCAACTACTTGCATTTTAGATGAAAATTGCACAGCAGCAATATGGAAAAAGTCAATATAAAATATACCGACATTGATAAGTAATGTTTCCTAAACACTGATAATTTGAAGGATCATGTGAAAAATTAAGGTTGCAGAAAATTCAACTCTTTTATCACACCAATAAATTAGTTTAAAATATTTAAAAACAGAAAATGGTTATTTTAAATGGTAATAATACTTAAGCAATTTTACTGTTTTTAATGTATGTTTGATCACATAATTGCTGGTTTGATGAGCAATGAGCATAAGAAAGCGTTAATTACTCACCCTCGTGTCGTTCCAAACCAGGAAGTCTTTTGTTCATCTTCGGAACAAATTTTATGAAATCTGAGACCTTTCATCTACCACTTTGACATTTCAAAAGTTCATAAAGACAGAGATCTTAAAACTAATCCATATGAATTGAGTGGTTTAGTCCAAGTTTTCCAAAGACTCGATCGCTGTATATGGTCAACAGATTGAATTTAGGCTTCTATTCATATATAAAGATTCATCAACTCGCACATCAGTTGTGGTAAACGGAAGCTCAAATATGTTTGCTTGGCGTGCGAGAACCAATGAGGTTCATTCTCATGTTACGCAGTTTAAGCGTCCGCAAGGACCAATGAGGTTTGTTCTTGCACATCAAGCAAGTTCAGTTGAGCTCATGTCAATAAAAGCCTAAATTTGATCGTGTCTCTTCAGAAATTTTGGACTAAACCACTCAATTCATATGGAGAGTAATTAATGACAGCTTTTTATTTTATTTTTTTTACAGATTTTGACTTTTTTTTTTTAACAAAAAATGTTTTTGTGTAACAGGAGCCGAAGACTAAACTGTCACCAAATCCATCTGCCGTCTTTCAAAGCAAATCCAGAATCTTCAACATATGATCCATCAAGCTCACCACACTCGAAGAGAAGAGAAGAGAAGAGACCATTTTGAAAAAGAAATGTCTAGAGAGACCACTGAATGTTATTCTGAGAGACTCGGATAATCAGAGGAAGAAAATGCCCAAGGATGAATAGAGATGGTTTTAATGCAAGAGCGAAATCAGTAAAACTAAATCATTCCACGAAATTACACAACTAGAGGATTTTTGCTGGAAATTTACACAATGTGAAATATATGCTTCAAATGTCAACCATCTACTTGAATGATAAGTTTGTAAGACGGATCAGGTTTAAGAGAGAGAGAGAGTGTGAGAGAGTTTTAAGGCCTCATATTCTGCTGAGCTCACCCTGTCCCCGCTGAATGAGTATCTGCATGTTTCGTTTTATGAAGCGATTGAATATGCACAATTAGCAATGTTTTAAAAGAAAAATGTAATCTAGTAACTCTATGTCTGAGTGTGCGCGCGTGTGTGTGTATCCTGTACAAGCCTTGTTAATAGCATTATATTTGTATATAGTGATGATGTTGGTCTGCCTTTATCGATCTGTTAATGTCTGCCTGATGACGCCTAGTACTTCCAGTCACCCCTTTCCTGCTCCAGACTCACTAACCCTTTATGAAACGCACATAAAGACTCTAACACATTTGAGTTTGTTTGTTTGTTTTTGTAAATTTGGTTGAGAGATAAATGGGGAAAATAAGGCACATCTGTTTAAATAAAAATTACATTCTTAAAATTTCTTTCATATTTGGCTAATTCACATCTTACAAATATTTGATATAAAAACCGGGTTAGTACTATTTACTATTAGTCAAATGTTCACATAGTCGCATGTTCTTGTAACTAACACTTTTATGCCAATAAAAAAACTGCAATGAGAAATTCAGAGCAAAAGGAAAGTGCTGAGCATGACTATTTACAAGGGGCAGTTCAATGTGTTTATAATTTATTTTATTTATAGAAATTGCATTACTTAATGGTAATTTAGAGTCAATGAAATATTTAAGTCCTGAGCATAACTATTTACATGTCCATTACATAGACTTAAACTCTCTCTAAGTCAGCACAAAAAAAGGTAACACTAAGTTTAGGGCCCTATTCTATACTATTAAATAGTTGCTTATTAGCAGGCATACTACTTCTACCTTCCTAACTATTAATGAGCAGTAATTAGGAGTTTACTGAGGCAAAAGTCATAGTTAATAGTGAGAATTAAACCCTAAACTAAAGTGTGACAAAAAGCAATTACAAATCAATGCGATTTTTTACAATTTCTGTAGAACCCTTGAAAAAGTGACTAAATCCGCTTACACATGCGTCTCACTGAAGGTCACCGTTTTGCTACGTGAACTTTCATTTGTACTGGCAGTTGGAAAAAGAATTGAAGAAATCAGGACAGATGGATCCATCTTAGTTTTTAATACAAGAATAGTCATTTTCTGATACACAATGTAAAGGTAAAACACCCAGGAGTTCGGTTAGACAAGTCACGACTGACTTTAACACTGAATAAACACACAGAATACATTCTCTCTCATCCACACAAACGCACCAAATCAATTCTTGATGTGTTTTAAGCACACGCACAGAAACTGAGGCTAGTTGTATGACACGACAATAAACAAACCCGACCAAACAGATTTAGCAATGACACAAATGCCTCCTATATATCTGCAAACAAAAGCTTCCACCCTCACTGATGTTCAATCCTTCATTAATCCTAGTGTACAAAAAGATTCATATGAAACCGGGATGATTAAGACTTTTCTTAGACATTCTTGGTCCTAGTGTGGTAAAACCGGTGAAGACGTGTGACTAAAAAAGGACATTTAAACTCCACCCAAAGTTCTTAAAACCACATGAGAAGATCATTTAAGACCCAATAAAAAAAGACAACGAACAAGGATGATTTCACATACTGTAAGCTACACAACAAAAAGTAATTACCTTCTCCAAATAAATCCTGCTCGATAAAGTACAGTTTTCTGGATTGTTCAATGGCTCGTTTAATGTCTCCATTTCTGGTTTAAGAAATACCCAAAACGTTTGGAAATACACGAGGATGAGTGACTCATTTCAGAATAGTCGTTTTTGGGTGAACCATTCCTTTAATACTAACATAAGCTAAACAGTTCTGTGTCAACGGCAGAGCAAGGTCATGTGATCATGAGTTTTGAGGGTCTCAATGTAAGCAGAATCACGGAAGAGCGGTTAATAGATTTGCTGCACGAAGCATCTACTGTACCTGCTCATTTCTGAAGAGATAACTGTACTGTAGTTATTGTACTGATGGTTACATTAATATACAGGACCCTAGTTCATAAATATCAGAATTCATGAAAAAAGCATGAAAAATAAATATAAATAGAGTGATGTAGCCATACGAAACAAATGCTGTTCAGGCAGCGTGTCAAGATTACATTACTATCCATTTGGCGATCTTTCCCTTGAGCTCAGTACTCTTGTGTATAACGCAGCTGTCATCGTAATAAATTACGACACGGGCAAGTCAGAGGATATTTGCGCCTGTAATTAATCAGCCCTAGCACATTCTCCATCTTTACACAATGTGAGGGGAATGAGATAGTGTGTGACATTCCACCTGTGTCGTCTGTGGTCAGATGCCAAGAGGTGAAGTCAGTCAGCGTGGCTTTCATCCTTCACCATGATGCCCATGTACCTATCAGAGAGAGAGATAATTACATTCACTTTTATTCAAAGCGACTTACAATTGATATATATGTCAGAGGTTGCACGGCTCTGGAGCAACTAGTGGTTAAGTGTCTTGGTCAGTCAGGGACACATTGGTGTCTCTCAGTGGATTCGAACCCGGGTCTCTCACACCAAAGCCATGACGTGTCTTATCCACTGTGCCACTAGTATAATGTACTAGAGATTTAAAAATTAATAAATAAAGCTGCAAAAAGAATGCCCTCACGTTTCCAGCTTGTTCCAGACCATGGGAACACTGATGATAGACGCTGATGATAGTCGAGAAAAAAGAAAATATAGAGAAGTCTATAATGAGAGCAAAATTACCTATTAGTCAGGAAATCACAGGTGGGAATAGAGCTAATGGCCTGATGCACATCCATAGCCGATATCTCTCTCGGAGTTCTGTGGAGACGAGAAGAGAGGGATGAAACAAGGATGGGTAAGATAGAGAAAACTCACGGAACATTTGCTATCTTGGTATAATGGGCTATTGAACTTTGAGCATTAAATGAGTGGTCTCAGGGTATTGTTAATGTATGAGACATTGACCAGTTCCTGCTTGACTGATCAACACTATAAAAGGCAGTTACAGAAGAATGTATAAAAGCCTGTGTGTGTGTGTGAGTGTGTGTACGAAAGCAGATGTGCTGAGTAAGTAGAGCAGCACAGAGCTGATCTCTTCTCTCTCAGGGCTGGGCTTAACTGCTCTACAACTCAAATAAATCAGATTTTAATGAGCTATTCTCAGTGCTCTGATAATTACACATTATCATAAAACACTTTCCCACAATCGTGATAGAATCACATTAGATGAAGTTCAATGCTCAGAGTTCATCAAAATTGACCAAGAAATAATGCTACAAGCTCCATCTGAAAAGAACAAAACTACTTTTACTCGGAATCCTGCTGGTTTACCCATCTGTCCTGATTAATCTTGTACTGGCATACGGGCGGACACACTGACCTGTTTTGCTGGGATTTCCCATGGGCATTTGCTAAAGACTCCCTGAGGATTTCATTGGCAAACTGCTCCACAGCCTATGAAGAGATTTACACAACATTCAGCAATGACATGTTAAAAATGCATCATCAAATTATAACAGGAAACATAAATAAGACAAACAAAAAAAAAAAAACGGTATACAAAAACAGAATAACAAAAAGTACATAGTGTATGTTTCTCTATATAAAATAAAAACAAATTACTCAATCTAAGACTATTTACCTTAAGAACCATGGTCTCCACGACAGGAGCAAAAACGTTCTTCTCCACCTCCACCTGCTGCAGCGTGACGCCGATCTAACACACACACACATCATTACATGTCTGAAAGTCAAACACACAAGAGACAAGTCAAAGAAAATTTCAATGTCACTCACCTGCTCCGCTGTGTCTCTGACGAACTGGGTCGATGGGCAGCGTCCCAAGAAAAACTTGGGTTCCTGTTCGGCCTCTTCCTGTTCCAGTTTGACTTTGACCTTGGCAGCGTCTATATCTTTCACACTGATGATGTCAAGAGGCTCATTATCTTCCTCGTCAGGTTCCGCCTTCAGAATCTTCTGAAGTTGCTCCAGACGTTGAGACAACTCCTCACAGCCCGTCAAAGTCGAGCTACACTCTAACAAGCACACACAAACACACAAACGTGTTAGTGTAAAACAACACACAACACAAGCAGCTAGTAGAGCTACGCAAACACAACAAAAACAAACAATACTCTAGATCTATATTATGGCTCGGTTCCAAACAATATTACTATTTATTTATTCGCAATCAATAATAATCTTTTGTATTTTGCCTAATAATTAAAATTAACATATTATTAGTAATAATTATTAGTAATAATAATAGTTTGTATATAATCTTGTTTATTATATGAATGTGCTTTTACAAACCCAAGGATGTTTTACTCTGTACAACAACTCCAAAAAAGCAACCTAAGAAAGTACATGAATGAAGAAAGCACATGCCTCCAACAAACAAGACTCCTTTGTGAGTCCTCGCCTATCTACTGTCTACACAGGATATTTTCTAAGGCAGCATGCTAACTGAAAATAAACCACATTAGTGACTAATTTAAAAACACTCCTTATGGACACCATCTCCATTAGTGGTCACTCTGTTCAAACAAACAGCGCTCGTGATGCGCATTATGGCTCACACTCGATCCCAATAGAGTATGATGATGTCAGCACATAGCTAAGCTAATGACTCAAACCTCTATTAGAAAAACAAACAAAACAACATTTGGGTGACAATTTTCAGTACCAAATAAAATATATTCATAATCAACACTTTCCTTCTTGGATTCACCATCAGTTTATTGCAATGCAAAAGCTTTATGTGCAAAAGTTGCATGAAACGCTGAATATAATTTTGGCTAAAATAAGCTTCACTATCCAAATTTTTCCTACGCCCCATCAATCAGCAAAAATGTCTCAACAATAAGTGTTTTCATAAACTGGGTACAATGAGATGACATTATTTCATTGAATATTAAAAGGAAATTTAACAAAGCATTAACAAACTACTACAACGGACAATGAATAGCCCCAAAAGCTTTTCATTGCTTATTTCTGCAGCAATATTACGGACATCCTCAATATCACCGTAATAATATAAGACACGTTGCCTTAATCTAAAATGTTCATTAACTGGAACATTGAGTGATAATATCCCTTAATACTATATTTACCTGCTTTAGAAACATTCCAGTAAACATTGCTAATGGGGATTAGAAGTGAAAAGGGGAGACAATTACATTTTAAAGCATCTGTGTGAAAGCAAACCTGGAAAGAAACGTAAGATTTAGGGAGAAAAATAAGGGATTCCAAGTCCATTCCAGTGAATTATTGATGGGATATATGATCATATATAGCAAATTAAAGCTACACTGTGTGATTTTTACCCCCATCTAGCGGTGAAAAGGTATATGACCATCCAGTGAATATTAGTTTCTGTTCCTCTCAATTCCAATTTCGTTTTAACTCCTACGGTGGCCAATGTAGTGCAAGATTAACATGGCTTCCAGTTCGACCTCGTCCATGAGTGTTAACTCAAACGTAAACGCGAAAGGCGAAGCTTGAATTAATGGGTATGTCCCTCTTTGGCTAATGTACTTTTGAAGATGGAGGGGCAACATGGCGACCAACATTAGAACCCCTTACCAGTATGTATTTTCAGCGTCATATTATACACTCACGAGAATACTTTATTACTTGTACGAAGTAAATATACATTAATGAGCACATTTATTTTTGAAAGAAGTGTTTTTACCTAAGAATAAACTAAAAGAGTTACACAGTGTAGCTTTAGTTTAAACCCAAACCGGAAGTTCCTCCCATAATCTAAAACTCAGTAGGCTCGTTAGGAAAAAGGGCGATAAAGCAGCGCCATTTTGATATCTTATTATTATGAGGCAGCAAACTGTGTGTAACAGCATCTGGAGCATATAGAAACTGCCTTAAAATGCTGTCTATGTAGGAAGCTCAGTAGGGATTGAAGCAGAGCTGATGCTGAATTTCAGCTGCTTATGTCTGAACTATAAATTCTGAGAGTTGAATTAATGCCCATCTCTGAATACTGACATCATTATACAGGCTAACGCGCCATCACTGGAAAATAAAGAGAGAGAGAACACTGCTGCATTGTCTGTGCCAAGTCTTGTGTAAGTCAAAGCTCTGGATAGCTGAGAGAGACACAGGCCATGATGAATTAACCTCAATCACAGGTTCAAACACACACACACGTTATATAAGCTACACACTCACCCGGTTCACTGTCGATCTGTGTGAGTATGTCCTCAATGGAGTCCTCCTCTGTGTGCTGGGGTTCAGGGTCAGGGGGTGTGTAACCCCGGAGACGGCACCAGCGGAGCACCTCTTTAGTTCTGGGTGGGGTGAGGGCCTGAAGACGAGGTGTTCTTTCTAACAGATCAGCACACACACGGCGCAC